CTTCATCCCATGCTTGCCCACCGTTGAACTCACAGCTTCCCTGCTGTGAACCTGTCCTGACCTTCCCCAAAGCAGGGTAGTTGGATCCTCTCCCGGGAACCAGGTGGGGAAAGAAAGGAGAGACTGGACACAGTGCCAAGACAACAGTAGAACTGGGAAGCCTTGAGGAGTCCGATGTAGGCGGGAGGCAGAGGGCTGGGCCCACCTCCATCTTCACCTCCTAGAAACCAGAGTCCAGAGACCAGGACACGTGTTCTGGAACAGACTCCCTGCTACAGCAGGGCGGGGTAAGGGCGAGCCCATCCTGTGAATTGGGTGGCTCCTGCAGTCTTGGCCAAGCTCCTAGCAAACATGCAATGCCCTTAAGTGGGGTTTTCAGGCTCTGCATGCACATATGTGTCTGTGACCTCAGCTAGTTCTCTGACCTGAGCAAGGATCGCCAACACGGTTCCCATGGCACAAACCTAGCATATGAACCTACCTAGAGCAGTGTGCCATAGTGAGAATCACCCCAGCTCTTGGTGTTTTCACGTATAGTGGTGGTTGAGGCAAAGGGGCTCCTGTGTGTATTAAGGGTAAGTGAGGACAATAGTAAAGGAGCCCCCATCTTCCCTCCCTCTGAACTCTGATATCCCTCTACGCCAGACTTGCCACTCTGCCAGGAGCTACATGGTCACCTGACCCCCGTGGCAGCCTTTGTGAGTCAGCATGACTGGCAGATGACACTGGCACTCCCCTGGCACGAACTTCCTGGTAAACCAGCTGCTCTTCTAGCTGCAGCCTCAGAAATTCCCGGACAGATTTTGTTGGTTAATAGCAAAGCAGAAAAGTGAGCTCTTGGGTCCAGAGCTCAGCAAGAGTTCCCCACTTCAAAGAAAATGTACAAGAATTTAGCAGGTGCCAAGGTTAGGAACCCTGCGGCCTTGCTATCAGCATGCATGGCCTCAAAGTCACTTTGCTGCAGAAAGCTGGGCTGGGCGCAGTGTGGCGCTCCAGGGCAGAAAGCAGAAAATGCACCAGGAACTGTCTCACTTTGTTCCACTTCTCATGTCTCATCCTGCGAAGGCGAGCTAATGTGTTGGTTCCTCTGTGACATACAAACCCTTCACACAGCATCCGTGCCCAGACCCCAGACGCACAGACCCTGACACTGACCGGGAAACTGGGGAACCTTCGGTCTGCAGAAAGTTTAAATGTAAGCTGGAATAGTGGCCAAAAGCTGTCCCCACCTGGTGCCTGTCATTTCCCATCCAGGCCTTGAAGAACAACTTGTTCATGTCTTGCCTTTTGCATGAGGCTCTTTAGTCTTCATGTGGCGTTTTCCCATGCCTGGACTCTGGTACTTTGGAATCACAGGGCCCTCTTTCTATAACCCCTCCATCTTACTCCCCACTTCTCCCTCCATCTTACTCTCTCCCCTCCCCTCCATCTTACCAATGCCTTCTTCTTCCATCTTACCCCTTCTCATTTAACCCCATGTGGCCCAGAATGGAGAAAGTCACGGTTATTCATCCTCATGAAGTCTCATTTAGTTTGGACTTCAGGATGGAGAAAGTGGAGGTTCATGAGTGGGGCTGTCGACCTGCTGCTTCCCCACCAGGGTGCACCATGCCTTACGCCATCGAGGATTGGTTCCAGTGAAGTGTCTTCTGCCCAAGGCTGTTTATTATGAGGCAGAAAATGCAATTAACCTTAAGTGGTTTGGGTCACTGACCCAAGCTTCCTTTCTCCTTGCTGCCGCTGTTTCCTTGTGAAAGAATAGTCAAAACAGAGACCCAGAATCAGGCATGCCGAGGAGCAAAACCATCCGTGTTCCCATCCTCGGTTGTCTGAGGGGGCCAGGTGCTCAGAGGCTCGTGAATCGTCCTGTGCACCACACACACAGAATAAATGCCTTCACTTACATGCACCGTTGCTTTCAATATATGTGTGCTCTCATGATTCATAAAATACAGAGTTACTTCTGAATGAGTGTTTATTAAGTTACTATGACCCAGTAACATCTTTGGGAAGAGACTACCCTCCAGGGGGAGCTGGAGACAGGGCCTTGATTGCTTTGCTTGGGCTTCCTTGTCCTGAAGCTAAACAGGCTCAGGCTTGGAGCTCTGACTTTGCGACTGAATGGCAGTCACCTATTAGCACAGCTGCCTGTTTTTCCTGGGTAACCAGTGACACAGCATTTGTCTCACACTTTTCTCTACCCCAGGTTTTGGTCTGGTTGTAAATGAGCTTCTTCGGCCACTAGAATTCAGGTTAGCTGCTCACCAGGCAGTCACTACCATGGCGCAAATAATGTTGGTAGAGGGCGAAAGCATCCATAGTGTAGGGTAAGCCAGCATCCTTAGTGTAGGGTAAGCCAGCATCCATAGTGTAGGGTAAGCCAGC